TACTTGTTGCTGTTCCAAGATCAATTCTCAGGATATGTCATGTGCAAACCCATGCAGAATACCGAAGCCCAAGACGTTGCTGAGGCATACGAAGAGTGCGTATTCAGAAGATTTGGGGCAAGTTCAATGATCAGACATGACCAGGATCCTCGCTTCATGAGCAACGTCTTTGCTAGATTCAGAGACCTTCTGAAAAGTAAGCAACGTGCGACACTAGGATACCGTCCTCAGGCCAATGGACAGCAAGAACGCTTGGTCCAAACTGTGATACGAAGCGTCTGAGCGTATGTCGCCGAAGTTGACCAGAGTGACTGGGACGAGCATGCAGAACGCCTCATGTTCGCTCTGAATACCTCGTTCGATGATGCAATGCTGGACACTCCGTTCTACCTGGTCCACGGCTGGGACGCCCAAGGAACCATATCCGCGATGCTGGGCCCGAAGCCATCCACAGTCCAAGAACGAACGGCTTTGGAGTGGCGTCGGAAGATGCAACGGAATTATAGCTATGCCCTTGCGAGCGCTGAAGATTTGCAAAAAGAAGGCGAAGCGTGCGAGATCTGCTGCCCAGACTCGTAGAACGCTCGGATTGTGTAAAGGCGGGTTTCGAAGCCGGTGATTCTGTATGGTTGTATATTCCCAAAGTCCGCACAGGATTGACCCACAAGCTAGCCCACCTGTGGCATGGACCTTTCCAAATCGATGAGATACATGACGACTTCAGAGTCAAGCTCAAGATCCCGGGCACGGGCTACCGTGTGAATCCGTGGGTCCACATTAGTCGTCTCAAACCGAGAGCTCTATTCCCTAAGCGACCGACCTCAGAGATATAAGTCTGCATAAGACTCTGAGGCCCATCCTTAGCTCTTCTCCAGGTCCATCGCTTCTCACACGTTTCACAGTCACTTTTCTTTCCACACATTCACACTTGGCGATCCTGTATCCATTACCTAATTCCCAGTTCCATACAAATTCCTGTCCCCATGAGAAATTCCAAGTCACTTCGTGTCATCTGGCCTAACTTAACTGTGGGGCATTTTTATACGAGTTCGACCAACGTGCTAAGGCAAGAGCACGGTTCCAAGCTATGCAAGCTGGGGATGATCACCCTGGGAACTAGTGTCGAAGATAGCCCGGCCCAAGGAATTTGTGTGTGTGAATAGGATGGTATCGATTCTGAGAACCGTGAGAGGTTGTTTCCTGGATCCAGCGAGGATCTCAGAGAACAACCAATGTATGAGTGAGTGTCAAGACGAAGATTATCATTAATTGGTAAAGAAGTCAAGATGCGAGAACGAGAAGTGGAAAACGATTAGTATTAACGAGTTAATGCCTGAGACTGAGAGAAAAGAGAGTGACTCCGACATCCAGAGCACGTGGAGAACAACAACTGACAAAAGGAGTTCACGCTTGAGACGCCGCCGATAAGGGAATCACATTCCGGGCTCTGCGTTCAGGCATCATATGAAACGGGTGCATGAATGAAGGGACTGTGGTCAGAATGTCATCGTCGCTGAGCGCCACAGCCCATTGAGTGCGGACGGGATCTTCCGCGTGCAAGTCGTCAAGCTGAGCAGCGTAGTCAGGGACTCCACGACGAATAAGGGGCGAACGTTCAGGATTCTTGAGGATCCAGTGGCACCCACACACAGGTAGCGTCCACAGACCAGGTTCGTAGAGCAGCGTCTTCGGAAATCCAGCGATCTCAAACAACCGTTTGAGTAAAGCCTCGTACTGTGCCCGAAGCCGTTTGACGTCTCTGCGACGTTCGTCGTACAAGTCACGGAAAGCATCTGTGCCAGCAGCGTCTCGCGACACGAAGGAGATGGTTAGCCAGTGGAGAATCGTCCACCAAGTCTTCGCGTTGACACGCATGAAGTCCACGTAATTCTTGATTCCGTCGAGCATCTCAGAGTTCCAGTCATGCACTTCGTGAAAATAGAACACGGTGACGCGATAATAGAACATCACAGACCAGGGCGCTCTGATGAACTCGCCATCTTCATCTCGAGCGGCACAACCGTTGACGGGTTCAGGAATGTAAATCAAAGCTTGGTATGCCTCCAGATCCCAGCGCGCCTTCAGAATGTGGATGTCAGGCTTGTGCGGCTCGAAGTCATGATACCCCTGAGACTGTCGATAGGAATCGAACTTCACCAGAATCCCGAAAATACGATAAGAGACGTGCGTCTCCCGACATGCAGCCTCCACCATGTCTAGGTGCTTGCCCTGAAGGTCGTCGTAATTCAATTTGGCCAACTTGGACCGAATGCGTCGAAGGCCCTCGGGTGGAATTTCCACCCTAGCCCGACGGAGGAATGTGGCCAGGGAGAGAACAGGCATCAGGCGTGCGTGAAGTGCCGCCAGATTTCGGAATAGGCGGAGCCTTGGAGCTGGAGATGACGCGATACTCGAATTTTCAGGGATGCACCATGACTCTTAGAGCCACTACTCTTGTCACTCGTTTTCCCAGTCTTGGACTCTCGAGGACTGGCAGGACTCGGGTGTGTAGCTGCGGGCTTAGATTCCTTCCCAGCTTTGTCGGAGTCTTCACTCGATTCGTCGTTGTCAGCAGCGGCCTCAGCTCGTGTAGCCTTGTCCAACTCCGCCTGTGGCAACTCGTAAGACGGATCCTGAACCTCATCGTCCGAAGACTCAGGGAGCTTGGCTTGTAGAGCCTCAGTCTCCCGCGTCGACTGTTTACGCTTTTGGACATTGATGTAGCACCGACCCAGAGGATGCCAAGGAGGCGTTGGTTTCCGCGTGGCCTGGCGTAAATGTAAGGTCCCCTCTGCGCTGGTATAATCCTCTCAGGGACGAAACGACACCAGGGAGTCTCATCCAGCTGACCTGCGCGAATTACTTGGGCCAACATGCGGCAGATAGCCTCCCTAGGCGCAAGGTGGTGAATGCCCTGACTTTCAGAGACCCACTTCGTGGCGCACTTGAAATCCATCCCGGACAACAAAAGATGTTGGACATCCTCGCGGACGTCGGTCCAAAGCATCCCAGCTGGGAGCGCACGACCCACCTCTGCCAGATTCCGAGCGTTGGGAACATTCCGGGGGGGCGGAGCTCGGTCTCCAAGTCCGCTAACCGCCGGCCCGGCTCGAAGGCGTGGGAGCGTGAACGACGTGAGATGTTGGAATAACACGACCGGTGACTTCCCGTTGACACGGGAGAATCGGGTGTAGTCCGTATCGGAGTGCTCCCGGAGTCGCTGCCTTGCTGACTCATAATGGGCGGCTGGCTAAAAACTTGGGAGGTGTGTGCGCGGGTCCACAAATTGCGGAATGAGACCTGAAGTGAACCGGGACGGTCCAACTTGCAGGCTGAGCGCGCATGTGGTGAAGTGCGAATAAGATCTCGCAAGAAAGGCAGCCTCGGCTGCCTGATCGTGAGATAGAGACGGACCAGGCGACAGGAATTCCACTCAGGCCGGGACATCGGGTCACCTGCCCAAGATCCAGCGTGCGACAACGCCGGTGAATGATGTGGACTTCGGATGACCCAAGATTGACCCCTGGGGTGATGGATGGCAACATACCCATACCATGCCCCGGTCCGAAATATCCAGGATCAAGGGTGGATGGTGGACATGGGCCGCTGACGACCGGCGATCCGGAGCCGTGGCGAGTCGGCGGACAGAGATCGAAGAGGAACGACGGCCCCGGAGCTAAGCTGGTTTTCGATCAAAGGGCGCGAGTGAACGACGATCCAAGGTCAAGACAAGGTTGCGGCCCAGGATCGTGGAAGAAAAGCAGGCTAAGATCGTCATGCGGCAGCAGTCGTAGGTCACGGGTGAACAGCGACTGTGAGGATCACCACACGACGATTATCGGAGAGGACGTCCGAGGTCACGATCGGGGAGATGGTTCAAGACAACGATCACGATCGTCATTCAAGAATCACGATCGCGATCACCATTCAAGTTTGCAATCGGCAGATCTCGGGATCAGGTAGGTATACAGATGTCAGGTGATCGTAGGATAAGCAGCTGAGGATGGGTTGGTGATATAGGGATAAACGTAAACAGACTCGAATTTGCTCTAAGCTACACTACAAGTGTCTGTCCACGCCTGGAATCGGGGATTAGATTGGCCTCACAAGCGCACAGACAGCAAGGACTTAGGAACTAGCGTAGCGGGTAAGCCTAGATAATATATTGGTCAGCTTTCCCCTACCTAGTGACTTGTCCTCAAGTGTTTACTACGGATCGGAAGGCATTAGTTGCTTGGCCTGGAAATCTCGTCGGATCTCAACCCAAAAAGTTCACCACTACAGGAAGCGGCAAGCATACGCAAGGAAGGAGCAAGATCTCCGACATTGGACCCTCAGACCTGGATCGACGACCAGGCAGCTAGAATCGCGGCTCAAGTACACGCCCGCGATCGAGATCAAACTACCCGAGGTAGAGTGAAGAATTGCTCACGCTATCTCAAACCCCTGCGTCTCCACCTTCACCGATAGACATCACACGAGTCACCCAGGAGAGCGTAACTCGCCCGCCGTCGGATACGCAAGGTGAGAACAAGAACACACCAGATCACGGATCATCGAGGCACCCGCTTCGTTAGTCGGTGTCCGGGCGCCAATGGTATCGAGATCTGCGTCAACGTGATTTTCGCAGATCCCGCTTCGCCACAATGGTGCGCGGTCCCGGATCTTCTGGTGACTCGGGATTTCACCGTGAGTCCCAAGAAGATGTCAAGGTCAAAGAAGAACACAGGGGAAGAAGTGCCTACGAATGTTGGATCGACGAAGGAATTGCTAAATACGGCAAGATCCACAGATCAGCGGAGTATGGAGGGTATTTCTACTGACAAACACGAGGCGGACCTTCAAGACCCAGATCTTGAAGAAAGCCTCAAATTCTTCTCATGGCCCCCGGCGGCCACCGCGGATCTCGATGAGATTTCCTGATCCGTACCCAACCGACAAGGAAACGACAAAGTTAAAGTCCAATCCGTCCACCAAGTCGGTGGCCGCGACAATATCGTCCAAGAAGAAGAAAATCAAAGCCGCTCGGACGAAGCTGATGGCACCAGATTCGGAATCGGAAGACGTGAATAAGCCGAGATCGACCATTGCCACAGACATGATCAAGCAGGCTTACTATCGTAAGATCCTAAGTGAGACACTGCTACATGACCCTGTCCTCACCATCATACAGGTCCGCCAGATCGGCGATCTGACAGGCCCGGTGTCCAAGCCCAACACCAGCTGAGATAGGCTGAATGCAGTGAAGATCCTACTAGGTCTTCTCTAGGAGAGCTGGAGAATTCGATCCGGATTCCCTGTTCGAGATGGAACTGGGGGCGATCCAGCCGGCGACCCAGGACCTCTTCGGCTCGCTCAAGATCTTGGTCGGCGAACATGTACAAACGACCGACCTGAATTACCAAACCGGGTCGTCACACTACGCGTCGGCCACCTCGGAACCAGATTCAGATTCTCCCCGAGCCCCACAACGTATGTCGCTAGGTCCCTCGGGCGACAAGTATCTGAGAGCACGCGTGAACAGGCCGGATCAACGACCGGCAGAACCGAGTCCGACTCTTGAGAAGCTCGATCGGCATGAAGAGCGCCAGATCTCAGCAGGACGAACCACTCCGACGACCAATTCGACCGGATCTAGCAACAAACTGAACAAATATTTCCAGATGGCGATGAACTGATTCCTGAAGGAACAAAGCCTGGTGACAGCCCAACCACCACCCCTCGTAACGCAGGATATCGACATGGAGTCAGTCGGTACCCCGGATCTACACTCCGGGGAGTACAATCCCGACGATCTCGGAATTCCGAGTTCCTCCGGTCATACTTCTGGCCGAGGTGCGGTCGCCACGGCGGCGATCGGCTCTAGGGGGTCATCGCTGCTTCCAAGAGTCCGAATTTCGGCCATCTCAGATCTGAAGGAATTTACCGGGAAAGATATGGACGAAGATCGGTCCAGAGCTTGGATCGGCATGGTAAAATCGGCGTTCCAACGAGACCAAGCAACAGAAGAGGAGAAATGCCTCACGTTCGCAGATCTGATGGTAGGGCCAGCCAAGAACTGGAATCGACAGCTAAGTCGGACTACCAAGACCAAATGGGCCAACTTACTCGAAAGGTTCCATATTGTTGTCTGGGTATGTCAGTGGCATGGCAGTACTACCATGCCCGGAAAAGATCCGAGGAGACCCCGCTCGATTATCTCCACCGGCTGAACGTAGCCGCCTACGAGCTAAACTCAAAATCAAGGACAGGAACCCAAAAGTGCGTCGGCAACATGCGGATCATTACATCGAGACGTTGTCCCAAGTTGGCTGACCGCCTAACGCTACTACGATTGGCCGACGTCGACGTTCTTGAGGAAGTGCTCCGTGCGCGGGAACGAGCCAAGAGCAGACAACGCAGATCCGCGTTCGGATCGAAATATCGACAGAAGGCCCCTGCCAGCGCTCCGGCTGCGCCAGCCCGTGTCATGGTACGCGCGATCCAAGCGCAAGATCCGAGCTCCGAATCAGAAAGGGTCTCGGGATCTGACGGATCCGACTCGGAAGGTGACCTACGGAGGATCTTTCTCGCCGTGGCAGAAGAGAAGTTGATCGGCACTGGGGCGCCTCGCAAAACCCAGATCCAGCACGGACCCGAGCGAAAGCCCCGGAAGCGGATCCCCGAACGCCGCCCTCCGGGCGATAGGGATCATCAAGATCGGGATCGCTGCTCGCACTGCGAGTCCAGGAAACACACGGATCTCGACTGTTGGAAACGTCTGACATGCGAAAAGTGTGGGAAGAGAGGTCACCCAACGGATCGTTGTCTGTACGCGTGTCCGGGATGCGGGGACGTTCACGAGACAGGGGAATGTCCCATGGAGGTATTCTACAACCAGATACGCAAATGGTACGATCCGACTCGAGACGTCGGGCTGTTCCCCGAACAACTCGAGAAGATGTTAAACTAGGACGCTCGCCGGGGTGGAACCCGGTACGAGCCGAGCGTTCTAGGTACTACATCTACGCCTACGTGAACAAGGCGACGACAGATCGAGGTAGGAAGGAATCGGATCTACGCTGAAATACATGTAACTTGCATTCGTACACCGCCAAGATCACGAGCCTCCCTCGGATCAGCGAGTTTAGTCGATCTGACACGGAAGTGGCCTTAGATCTCAAAAGGGGAGAATCCCGGGGATATTGGAAATGTCATGCACCGGGAAAATGGTTCAGACAAGTTAAGATCTCAGGCAGGACCATTCAAGAGAGAGCGATCCTGCTCCTAGATACTGACGCTGAGGTATCAATATTGGATACCACCTTTGCTCGTAAGGTGGGATGCCACTTTGACTCTAGTCAGAGACAGGAATGCGTGGGAATCGGTGACAACGTATATACTACAGAAGAGAGAACCAGGATCAATATCACGTTAGTGGGATATCTGGTGTATTTTTTCGACATTTGGATTGGAGACATATCAGGACAGAACGCGATCCTAGGCACGGATTTCATGGTCCCAGCCGGTGTGCGGATGGACCTCGCCGACGGATCGATGCGTCTACCTGACGAGGTTGGAATACCGCTCAATGGCCGTAAGCGACTGTACAGCGAGAAGGTGAGATCAGTGATTCTCGAACGAAATCTACGAATCTCGGTTGGACGGTCGGAAGAAACAGTGGCGAGGATAATATTGTCACCCACAGAGAAACTATGGGTGGCCAGAGGAGAACGATGGATACCGACAGTAACGGAAGGCCCCGGTCGGATCCGCTACCGTGTGATCTCGAATACTGGAGAAGAGATCCTACGGCTGGACCACCGTCTGAACGTTGGAATGATACTGGATCAGGACAAGTACCCCGATCCCCAGGGTTCGTGTCCGTCGGGTCTCGCCGCTACAGAGAATGGCAGAATCTGGCATTGGAATCGACGGTGGATACTCGATCAGAGCCTCCAGAACTTACGGATGACCCTGCAGAGCCGGAAGTACAACGACCAACGTATCCCACACCACGATCGATACTTCGCCGGGCAGAAACCGCTGACATCGACAGAGATCGAACGTTGATATCGACCCTAGAGACTCGATCGAGGGCGGGAATTGCCAACGCAGCCCAGATCGAGGCAACGTTTCTCAATCCGGAAAGGAGCCATCTATCTACACCCCCGACAAACCCCGACGCCGATCGATACCGGAGCGGTGATGCTGGGGGCGGCGGGACAATCGAGGGCATGCCGGACCAGGCTACCGATCGGACTGGCACAAAGGATATCGAGCCAAAAACGGGAAATCCGAACTGTCAAACCCGGATCAAACTCGAATCAGGCGAATACTTCGGTGTAAACTCCCGGATCCACCCGACTGAGGGCGTCGGACTACGCGATCCGTCAGCGGAAGGAGCAGCAGCGACCCCCCCCCTTCAGGATGCCGAGTATGATGGTGAGATATACTACCACGAGAGTGGTGATCTCCCAGCTGAAGATCTCGAGGGGAATCTCGCTCTCCTCCCCGAAACCCCAATATCGACGACCGCGAAGGTCAGCATCGAAGATCTGCAGGTAGGAGGCTCCGGATCGGCCACCCCCGAGGAGATCGAGAAACTCCGATAGATCATTTGGAAGAAGCAACACCTCTTGATAGGTAAAGGGAATGCCCTGTCTCCGGCGGCCAGGGACGTCGGACGTGATATTGATGTCGGGAACGCGAAACCGATCGCGTTGCGATCCCGGAAAGTACCCGCGCGGTTTCGGGAAAAAGAAGTCGCAGGCCTGATCAAGGGCCTCCTAGCAGCCGAGACCGTCCGACCGTTCGACCTTCGACATCGCCATGGGCCTCACCGATCGTATTTTCCGCAAGATTAACGGGGTGGATATTAAGTTGTGCATCGACTACAAGCTGGTAGCAGGCTCACGAGGTTGATGGTCTATCCTATGCCTCTGATCAGCGATCTGCTAGAGGACCTCGATAAGGCGTTGTGGTATTGCTCACTGGATATGACCAGTGGCTTCTGGGTTGTGCTCATGACGGATCGGGCTCGGAAGATCTCAGCAATTATCTCTCTGTTTGACCTATTCGAGTGGAGTCGCATGCTTTTTGGCCTCAAAAAATGCCCCCAGATCTATCAACGCCTCGTAGACAATGCGCTGTATGCATTTCTGAAAATCTGCGATCAGGTGACGCAAGGAATACAACGGACGTTTTTCAGACAGGGATCGCGGACGATCCTGATCGCGATTCGGTGTTGGGACGAAGACCATACATCGACGACATCATGATCGCAGCGAAATCGTGGGATCAAATGTGCCACAGGGTGGAAGATCTGTTGGAGGCTTGTGATAAGTGGAATCTACCGTTTAGTGTGACAAAGCGCTTCTGGGCATGGATAAGGTAAGATACTTGAGGCACCGAGTGTCGATCGAAGGTCTAGAGACGAACCCAAAAGCTCTGAAATCTCTGACCGATCTGCCATTCCCCGGATCACACCGATCCATGCAGTCGTTCCTGGGCAGTCTGAACTATTACAGCCGATTTATTGAGGACTACGCCATATATGCCTCCGTCCTATACGAACTGCGCGAGGTAAAATTTGCAGAACTGGAGAAACGATCGGATCTGAGGAAGATCATGGGCCAGAATGACCCGATTGCACTGGATAACAGCACACCGGAGCTTCAGCCGGCGGAACCTTTAGATGGGAGGTGGATCAGGGCGCATAAGGCTTTCATCGCCCTGAAAACCAAGGTCGCGACGACGCCAATTCTTCGCCATTTCGACGAGACGAGAACGCCGGAAATTATTGTATATGCCAGTGATTGGGCGATTTCGGCTTCGTTGACGCAAGAACACGACGGGACCTACCATCCGGCTGCGTTCACCAGCCGCACGTTGGAGACGAACGAGTTGAATTACAATATGACCGAAAAGGAAGTGTTGGCATTGTTGAGGATCTTGGATCTCTATTACAAGTTACTGGTGGGACGCGAGATTCGGGTCGTAACGGGGCATTCCACGTTAGTCTGGCTGTTCAAGTCGGCAGGATTACAGGGTCGCCTAGGGCAATGGTCAGCCCTCCTGGCCCCGTGGACTCTCGAGATCACGAAATGTACGAAAGGAGAAGACGAGATACTGGGGCCGATCGCTGCCAGCATCACGCCGAGGTCGAAGATGGACGACGCCTTAACTGCTATCGACCCTCGGAAGGAACCCAAACGCCGGGTCCAAACGTCGATGCACACCGTGGATCGTGAAGAGGAATGATGGATAATCAGCTTTGATGGATCAGCTCGAGTGAAGCGGGGCGGAGGCGCGTTCAGCGCGATTGTGTGGAGTCTCTCCGGGTGGAAGGTGGTCAAAGCTAGATCGGGCTATCTCGAGAATCTCACCGTCAATGAAGCAGAGTACAACAGCCTTCTGTGGGACTCGACATGCTAACGGACCTTGATCGTAAGCGCCTAGTGATCTGCGGAGATTCTAACCTAGTGATCTGGCAAGTACGGGGCGAGACCGATTGCAAAGCACCCGAGCTGACGCTATTGAAGCGGAAAGCCTCGATCGCCTGAGGAAATGGAGCGATCATGAGCTAGTACATGTGAAGAGGTACTGGAATGGGAGTGCCGACAGCCTAGCGAGTGCCTCTTTGCAACGACAAGGTGGGATCGGGGTCCAAGGAGGCCCCGAACACCAGGACCACGACCTGGTTACCCTGAACCGGTTGGACGAGATCCTTATTCCCAAGACCGAGAACCCAGTGGTGCGAGTTGCAGCGGTCACCACCCGAGCTTCTCGAGTAAGGTCGCCCGCGGGAGGCATGTAAGAGGACCTGATCCGAGAGATGCGAGTCTATCGGATCAGGCAGGCTCAGGAGGAGGAAGTCTGGATCACAGGCATGAAGAAGTATCTGAGTGGCTCCATCGCTGATCTCACGCAAGCAGAAGCAAGATCGTACGGCAAGATCGCGGCCGACTATGAGGTGGACGAACAGGATCTACTCTTTTACGGCCCTCCCACGCCTAGATCGGGGGACGATCGCGATCGGTTGCTGAGATTAGTGGTGCCCGAAACGTTACAATCTGACGTCTTACACCACTATCACACCACGCTAGAGGGTGGACATCAGGGAGAAGGCCGTACCTACCAGCGGATCCGGGATCACTTCCACTGGAGGGGATTATATCGGAGCGTTCAGAGATATGTGGGAGAATGCGTGGACTGTGAAACGGGAAAAGGAAACCCTGTGATCCAGGGTGAATCACCAGGGAACCTGCAGGCGCCATACCCTTTCCAGATCATTGCGATGGATCACATACCGTCGCTGCCCAGATCCCACAAGCGGATCTGGGCAGCGACGGTGTTGCTGATCTGAGTCGTTCTGTTCACGGGGTACGTGATCGCGAAAGCTAGCTCGTCCCGGTCGGCCCAAACGATCGCGGAATCTTACGAAGAGTGTGTATTTCGGCGATTCGGTGCTAGCGAGATGATCCGGCATGATCGAGAACCCGGTTTCATGTCCGCCTTCTTTCGGTCGCTTAATAACATCCTGGGACAACGGCAACGAGCGACGATGGCATATCGGCCGCCAGACGACGGGACCGCAGAAAGTGTGGCACATACCGCGACCAGGGCACTCAAGATGTACGTTCGCGATATGGATCAGAAGGATTGGGATGAGTATGCCGAGCGTCTCACCTTCGCGATCAACACGGCCCAGGATCAGATCCGAGGGGATACCCCTCATTATCTGGTACATGGGTGGGATCCGAGATCGATGTTGGAGGTCACAATCCCAGTTGGATGCACCCGACGACGTGGTCGGGACGCGCGGCGGTGGCGTTATAGGGTCCAACGGCATTATCAGCAGTCACGGGAGAAAGTTAACGCCAGATTGAGAGAAGCCATTGCGGACCGCGCCAGTCGACATAATGAGGATGTCAGCCGCACCAGATCGAAGCTGGATCACGAGTCTGGTTATATCTAGACCGAGCGAGAGAGGGATGTGCGCGGAAATTGGCACACCTGTGGCACGGGCCGTTCTGTGCCGCCGAGAAGATCAGCGAATTCACCATCAAGCTCGAGATCGCGGGCATTGGATACCGGATCTTCCCAGTAGTTCATGTGTCGAAGCTAAAATTGGTCAAGGACTTCCCGGATCGGCCGCAAGTGGAACTCACTGTGAGCGAATCGGATCGCCTCGACTTCGATGAGATCCTGCTCCAGGAGGATAGCTGGGTTCCAGATCTCGGAGCAGACGAGTACGAAATTGGACGGATCTCAGATGTGCGGAGCGGGAAGAAAACGCGATTCAGTCGGGTATACCGAGAATTTCTGGTGCATTGGGTGGGGTATGACGAGCCCACCTGGGTTGACGAGGCCGATCTCAACTGCGGTGCAATACTGAACGCCTTCTTGCGTAAATGGGTGAATCATAACCGGTTCAGCGTGATGCAATCTCATGAAGAAATGTGAGGAGGGACGGGGTAAGACTGCCTGATCGTCTCAACCCCAAGGAAATGCAAGTCGGAAAGAAGACTGAGATCAGGGATTCATGTTATATACGTACATATGGGGAAACATCGGCCCTCACGGGGGATCGCGGAAGGCATGGTGAGCCTGAAGATGGATCACCCAGTGAGAGCAACAACAAGAGCAAACAAACAGAAATGCTGCTGAGATTGGCAGACTATGGAGCAGATAGGAAGAAATCGCGATCTCGGGATGGCGAGCGGGGATCGTGGGGGTCTTCCCCGGAGTGAAGTCGGATCCGTCGGAGGGTTGAACTTGTACACGAGACGAGGGATCTGCAGCGACGGATGATCGGTGGGTTGGTCGCGGAAGTGGTTCCGCCAGAGATTGGCATGATCGCACTCGAACAGGGCGGTGATCAAGTCGGTCGGCTCGGGGAAGTTAGCGGCCGGCTGTGTGAGATTGGCTGTGCTGGAGACGGATCCGGGATACCAGCGTATACGATCCTGGGGTGTCGGCAAATGGAGGACGTAGGGATCCAGTAGGAGATCGATGTCGTCCCACTGGTTCCGCATCATTGGAAGGCACGCCCCCAGCGGTTTGCGCCAGCGATCCCCAACTCGGATGCGCCGTTGACGCCGATCGTGGTGGTAGTTATGGAGATCCGAGTCCGAGGCGTACATCACCTTCGTGATCTCGAGATAATGGGTCGATTTCCAATAAGCTTGCAGGTGATCTGCCTCCAGGCCGGCATACGACACCGCGATCCTCCATAGAGGGGTGTTTGCACGACGGTGCAAGTTGTGGTCGAACGTCAGCGGAGTGGGACGGTTCCGAAGTACGAGCCATGGCTCCGTAGCCAGCAGAGCCAACACGTTTGCACCGGTGATCAGCTCGAAGCGGTAACCCGTCCTGGGTATGGGAGCTTGAACAAGGGGCATCCGAGCAGAATACAGGAAGCCGTAAGGGATCGGCAATCTTTTGGTCAAGGTGGCCTGGATCATGGCGATGATCGGTACTGAGCCCACGATGGTCGGATCCCACGGGAAAATCTCGGCTGCCGTGAACACCCGGACCACAGAGTAGCTGGGAACACTCGCTCCGGGAGGAACCAACGGCGGATTCAGCTGGAGAAGTGAACCTCCACCGGAGGAGCTGCCACCAGGAGAACTGCCACCAGGAGTCCCACCGGGAGATCCCCCTCCGGGAGATCCGTGAGGTGAGGGAGGAGGAGTCGCGGATTCGTTCCCCGAGGGAGGAGAATTTCCGGCGGGAGGCGTAGAAGGAGTCGATCCGTTCCGTCGGTGAGGAGAACCGTCATCGTCGTGATCGTCGCCGCCTCCGCCCGGGATTTTGCCCTTATCTTCTAGTTCTTCGCAATCGGCGTCGTCTCCACCCTCAGACCCTTCAATCTCGGAGTTATCTTGGTCGCGTGATGGTGAAGTGGGAGGACTGCCGCGGGGAGTCTTGAGAGGTGGTGACCGGGGAGGAGAGCTGGGTGGACTCCATTCAGGTTTCGGCATCCGGGCCGCTTGGCTCTACCGGATCCAGCTAGCAAGTTGTGTGAGAAGCTGATCTGCCTCAGTCAAATCCCCTTCGGCTAGGTCACGCAACTCGCTGAGTTGTTCGTAGGCCTGCTGGAGATCTCCCATCCGGCTTTCCCACCCCTGAAGCTCCAAGCGAACCACTTCGAGGTCATCACCTGAACGGAACAAGTGTTTAGAGGGAAATCACGCAAGGCCGGATGACGAGATTCACTTACCCAGCTGGGAGACGTGAGCCGCTTCGGTGAGGAGGTTCAAGCGAACTTGATCGCGTTCGGCTATCGTGTGGCGAAGCGGAATCCGAGAAAATCTGGTTGACGCGGTTCCCGATACTACTGGCTCCCGACACCGACTAACGAAGCGGGTGCCTCGATGATCCGTGATCTGGTGT